TGAAAGACCCAATGTCTTGTAGATGCCATCACCCTCAAGGCGGATGGGAGGAGTGCCGGGAATGGAGATGGCCTTGTCGCTTGTATTGGGTGCTGGACTCGCCCTCATGGCACCAAGAGAAGACTCAGAAGACAATCAACGTCAGTTCTTACTTCTCCGCAAGATGACTCAAGTGCTAGGTAATACCTACCTAGGTGGGTAGATGTGTTGGTAGCAGAAGTACGGAGGAGCTGATGCAGATTTGTCTGAAGCATTTCAAGTTGGGGGTGGCTGAGCTGCTGATGGAGGAGATTCTTTTTTTTTTGTTGGGCGTGATGGTTACATTTGAGAACCAAGACAAAAAAAAAGGCACGTTGACGCACAGCATTGAACATACAGGGCTGGTGAGAAATGGCGAAGACGCCTGGCCGGAAATCATCCACTGAGCTTGTGCATCTTGACCCCCAGGCCTGTGGTCTGGCCCAATTAGCAGCACTTGAGGCGTCTGGTCTGTTCAGTGTTGTCTCGCAAGTGCAGCCGCCGACCCCTCAATTAATGTCTAGGTACGGAGTACTCCGTGCTTGGGTACCTGGCAATTTCCCAATTCCTATTCGATTGCCATGCCTCAAGGCTGATGGCACTCTGCACCTAGGTCGTAACTCGGTGCCTTGCGACACGTCAAGCTATCGTGCATCCACGCAATTTAACCATGGTTGATGCCCCGTCCTTGCATGTGGAATGGAGGGTGACTTGCTGATGCTTTCAGGCCCCAATATGCGGGTCGTTGTCGGTTTGAGGCAGTACCATGTCACACGGGCCTGGTTCGTTCTTTCCCTGCCTTGTGTATTCCGGTACCTGAGAACTCCTCTCGTAGCAAAGAGACATTGACAGAATATTTCTCTGTCGGCGCCCTCCCCGAGGAAATAAAATCTTAGCCATCTTCTCTCCGAGAGCTCTCACAACAACATCTTGTCGCCATTCTCTTCAATCATGCACAATCCAGCCGCGGCGTGGGCCCGGATGGCCTTGCTGGGATTGCTTCCCGCCTTGGCATTCGCGCTACACAGATTCAATGCGTTTGAGGCCATCACGAGTTTCTACACAGGCCCAGGCAGCTACAGCCGCATCCTGGCCACTGTGCTCTTGGCCCTGAACTGGAAGAGCCTGCCTTTTGCCTGGAATGTATGGATATAGATGTGCACACAAAATCTGCGAAGCAAGGGCAAAAAACTGACATTTCTCCCCCCACGCAGGTCCGGATATGGTATGCCATGATCTTGCACTTGTTCGTTCGCGAATTCCATGCCCACACGCCCGACAAGCTCTTCCACCCCATCATCAGCGAGTCGCACGCCTCCATAGGCGAGATTGACTACCGTCTGCACAAGTCAAACTCGACCTACCTCGCCGACCTCGACATCAGTCGCTCGCATCTCGTCTCTCATCTCGTCGCCCGCGCCGGCCATCTGGCCGCGAGCAATGCCAAGACGCGCCTGGTCATGGACCCGTCCAATCCGTCCAAGCCCGCCCGAGGCTCCTTCAATATTGGCATAGGCGGCGTCCACTGTTCGTTCAAGAGGGAGATCAAGCCCTTCCAAAAGTACGAGATGTGGTCCCGCATCTTGTCCTGGGACAGAAAGTGGCTATATATAGCCACACACTTTGTCGAGAAGGGAGCCGTGCTGCCGCGGTCCTGGGACATCCACAATTGCGGCCAGACGAGATCCAGCCCCGGAAAACCCCAGGACTGGGAAAAGAAGATTTTCGCCACCGCCGTCACCTCGTACGTGTTTAAGCTTGGCCGGCTCACTATCCACCCAGCTATTATGCTCGGGGCGAGCGGCCTTTTGCCGGAGCGTCCTGGGGGGTGGACTTTGGCCGACAATGGCGGAAGCTCTACGCCGGGGGATATCGTCGGTGCCGACGAACTCGGTGACGTCCAGACGTCCGAGTGGACGTGGGAACGGACCGAGAAGGAACGCAGGAGAGGCTTGGAGTATGCGCGACACTTTGCTGCCATGAATGATCTGCACGGTTGGTTTGATGGTGGTGAAGATGGGGCGCTGGGTCGTTTCTCTTTGGGCTAGCTTCTGAAACGTTCCATCAGTCATACAACTATCTAGTTGCTGCTACATCTCATCTTGGAAAGATTGAGTTCCTTGGATTGATTTTGGAGGATAATATAGGGCGTCGAGTTGACAGAGGTCATGTGTTAGCGACTTAACATATACCCTACTATAAATAACTAATTATAAGTTCTTACTTTTATATATATATCTTATATAAGCATTATAACCGCTTATTTACTAATATTACTTACAGCTATTTATAAACTATTATACACTAAGAACAGACCAATAACAATACAGGCAAAAGTGCCAAGAAGCCCAACACAAGTAAGTTGCCGATTGCAACCTTCAGGGGTCGAAGTAAGATAATTTTATAATTAAGTAGAAAATAAAACCCCACTTAATTGCCAATAAGTAGCCAGCTTCAGAAAGCCCCTCTTTTGCCCACCGGGCTAGTGGGAATTAGAGGCACCGGGTCGGTGGCCCTACTGCTCGCCCTTCTTGAGACCAGGAGTCGTTGATAATACAATCCCGCGACGCGACGTTGCATCAAGCAACGGCGCAGTTACCCTATTTCGAAGTCGTGATAGCAACTGGCAGTGTTGTGTTCCTCATATCAACCTCGAGGCTCGCGATGTTATGGGCCAGCTTCAAAAAGCCCCCAGCGCCCCTCTTGCCCACCGGGTCGGTGGCCCCAGTGCTCGCCACCTAGCGTTGGATCTCTTTGACTGTGATTTGGCTTGTGGAGACACTTTGCCAGGGGTTCAGACTAATCGGACGTTGACGGATAAATAGTATATTTATTTACTATAAAATTAGTAAATAAGAAAAGTACTATCCGGTTAGGTATAAATTACTATATAAACTAATTGTCTGTCTGCCTGACCAATATTATACTCAGACGGTTACTCGTAGCCTATAAGGGGGTGGGGGCCCCACGAGCCAAATCGCAGCCAAAGAGATAATGTCACTGGTCCTAATACATGCATGCAGCCTGCTGCAGTAACTATAATTAACTTAACTACTTTTTGGCGATCAAGGGCGCAACCATGAGGCCATAGCTCGCTTAGGAGCTCGCCGGGCACCACTCGGAATATACCGTCATGTGGTGGTGTAGCAAAACACAATATCTCTAGCTGGGTGCTAGGCGATACAGAGCGGTTAGCGAGCAGGGCCCATCTTGCCCGAGTCATTCAACTGGCCCCGACAACAAGGACATGCCACGTTCCAGCTACTTTAATTTTTTATGCAAAATTATCAAGCCGCTCCCCAAATACCCCCCTGTAATAGCATCGTATGACGCTGAATGACTCGCAAGACCAAGACTAGATAGATGACAACCCATGTTAGCCAGGCAATCCAGGTCAAGTAGCCTGCGGAACTTGTTCTTTCTATATAGACCTTAATACTTTAGAGATAAATTTTCAAGGTTGCTATTTACATCCTCATATTTCTAGTATCCTTACTACTAGCATTATACATGGCTGTTTATTTTTTGACTAGGTGTGTTTGAACTTGCTACTGGTAAGGACCAACTAAACGCCGATTGATACAACTAGAGATGTATTCGTCTAGAATAGAAAGACTGACTTTCCCCTATAGCACACCGCGCCGCTAGGCTACTGCCCTTCCAGTTCTGCCCATGATGGCGGCTTCTCTACAGTCGGCCAAGTACAACCAGTGTAGCCGGTTCATGGTCATGATAAGTGCCCGAATATGGACCAAACTTGGCATGTGCATCGCGGCTATAATAATACTTTTAACATTTTGTCTTTCTTCTCGCAAGCTACATCGCAATTCTTCATGGCTTAAAGCTGTTTCTTCACATCGGCATTCTCTACAAAGCTATCCCTCACCAAGCCATTTTTTACAAATGTATGGTAATAGCAGTTTTATGGATTCTATTACAGCCTCGACAAATCTGTCTCAAAAGGCCATGTTAATGCGGCAGCAATGCAAAGACTCATTATTGGACACTCGAATTGCGACGGCAACAGCTCACTTTTCTGATCCTAATAATCCCGAGACATTCTATCAACAAAGCATCAGGTCACATCTACTACATAATATTATTCACGGCACACAGTTACATATTTTATCTACCGCTATTATTGACTACATGTGGAATAAGCAAGCGTTTCTTCAGTTACTAATACTAAACGAGCTGGTAAAGTCACCCCAGGAGCGCCTCGAATGGATATTTTGGGCCGATCGCGATACGGTTATACTCGATTACTGTCGCAGTCCTGCATCCTTTATTGCCGAAGAAATAGGAAGCAATAATAAAACCACAGATACTTCGCAAGGTCCAGACATCAACTTGCTTATAACAAATGACCACAACGGCCTTATGGCAGGCGTTTTTATTATACGCGTATGCGAATGGAGCGTCAAGTTTCTAAGCGACGTACTTGCATTCCGAACGTTCAAGCCTGGTGTTGATCTTCCATTCCACGAGCAGACTGCGATGGAGCTCCTTCTTAAAGAGGATAAATATAAAGAGAATGTGGTATATATTCCACAGCATTGGATCAACAATTACAGAGGAGATACTGCTGAGGACTTTGTAAATCGCTCAGACGCAAGTGATATAGCTTATTGGATAGCTCGACGCGGCGACTTTGCGTTGCACTTTGCAGGATCTGGTAATAAGAGTGGAAATATTATGGAATACGCAGGTGTGGGAGAGGAGGTATTTGATGCTATACAAGGAGGTAGTATCTTGCGTAATATAAGCATGGATATTGAGGAATTTTGGGGAACGTATAAAAAGACTTGAAGATCTAGATATTGTATTATCTGTGCGAAAACAATTAGTACGTACGAGTACATACATACAAATTTTCCCCTTCCTTTTTTGGGCAATAGTGAGCCCCGCCCTTGTACCATTTTTGGGTCTCAAACCTCCAGCGGATTCCACCGTTCTTTCATATACACACACTAAATATATTACTAAGGCTTTATAGCAGTTAATAACTGGCACGGCAGAATCCCATATATCATGCCAAAGCCTAAAAGCGAAACACGTATGTCCCTCATGCCACTTTCCTCTAATGCCCTCCTATGCTGCTTGAAATACCCGTACAAATCTACAATAATAACCCTGCCCCCCGGCGCACATACCCTTGCCATCTCCTTGACGGCAAAGACTCTCCCCTCCCTCTGGGCGTTGTGTATCGACAGACTGGCCGTCACCAGGCCAAACACGCCGTCTGCAAAGGGAAACGTCTCGGTGAAGCTTGCAGTGTGCAGGACCGTCAGGTCGAGGACGTCCATGGCCGCGGCGTTCTTATACGTCGCCCGGGGGGTATTGCCGGTCTGGTCGGCGGTGCGGAAGATGTCGATCCCGTAGGCTGGGGCCACGGCCGGCGGCGGCGGCGGTGACGACGACGACGACGACGACGCGAGGTTCTTCTTGCGCCGGGCTGTTTTGAGGAGCACAATGCCGCGGCCGCATCCGACGTCGAGCGTGGGCCTGAGGAGCAGCGGCGTGGGAAGGGCGCCGAGGATGTCGTCCCATGCCTTGGGTTTGCCCCTGAGCGTCGCGTGCAGGTACAGCGGGGCGGCGGCCAAGGAGGACAGCAGGCCGAGGGGGGAGTCGAGGCCGAAGTCGGGCTCGGCTGGGGCTGGGGGTCTGGAGGGCGACGAGGCGATAGCTGTGATGTGGTTTGTGGGCGGACACTGCTGGTGGGCGGTGTTGTAGATGCACATTTTGGGGGTTAGTGATGGCTGCCTGTTGTTGAGGAAGCTGATGGCTTCGGTTTGAGGGGGTAAATTACAGGGGTATTAACAGTATATTATATATTTCTTGAGAAACTCTGTTGAGGGGTCTATAAGTGCCTGTTTTTTTGTGTTGTATTTCCGTATTTGATGCCCTGTTTGCTTGTGTAATAAGCGCAAGGTGGGGGCTATGCTTATGTGTCGCATATCACGCCTACCCTGATTGTACCGTATGTGGGGTACTGCAGCAGCTGCCTGGCAGGTAGCTGCTACCTAATTTTAATAATATATAGCTGATTAATACCTTATAAAAATCAGTATAAGTTATATAATATACAGCCTGCTAGTAGTAGTATAAAGTCAGCTATTAGCCGACTAAATAAGTCTTAACCTTATAAGTAGCCAGGGGAGAGTACTTTAAGGTGTAATTGCAACTAGTAGTTGGGCTGCGCTCCGGCACTATTTGTTTTCCCGTAACCCCGCTTAAAGGTTTACGCTTATAATACCCTATATACGGCCTGTTTAAAGAAGTATAGAATTCGCTATAAGCTGGACCTGGCCACAAGAACCTTTGGATATTAATTTATTGAATTGCAGATCCAACAAGTTATCCCAACTTGGACAAAATCACTGACGAGCTCTTAATAGCAAGCGAACTATAACCACGAGCCAGCTCTCCCCTACCAAGAAGGTAGCATGTTGGATTATTTGTGGCGTGTGGCTATTTTGCAGGAAGCAACATGGAATCACCACAGGTCCTCGTTCTTGGATGTTTCGACGACCTACCAAACGCGTGCGTCTATCTTCCCCCTCGGCATCAACAAGCTAACGGGCGCAGGGGATTGAAAACGGACCAAAAAGTATTGGCTACGCTTCAGATCCCATGCCAAGTCATTTCCTCGGGCTTGAATTCTAAGCGTTGCCATGCTCAGACAGAACCGAAGGCGCTCCTCGCCGAGCTTCGATCTGCTCTCCAAAACAGCGACTGCAATGTTGTCAAGATTGGTCCGTCGGCTTCACCTCTCGCCAACTCGAATCAAAGTCAAGGACGCGAATACTAACGACACGAATGTGTGCCAAGGCGCCATGCCGTCCATTGCCTCTGTTCAGGCCATATCTGACATCTGGAGGCAATGGCCAAGGATGGCATGCGTTCTCGATATGGAGCCCTTCTTGAAAACGGGACAGGAAATACCAAACGGAGTGCTTGTGGCGCTCATAGAGCATGTTCTGCCATCCATCACCATTCTTTCCGCCACTGTTGGCGAAGTCATGGCCCTGTTGGAAGGGGCGTCCATTGAAGCCGGTTTTCCGACCGGCATACAAGGCATCGTGGCACTGGGGAAAAAGTTGCAGAGCCTCGGGCCCAGGTATGTCATTGTGAAGAGAGAGATTTTGACGAGCCCGAGCAGACGACTGCACTCCATTTCGTGCTCTGCGGCGCTGGGGAACCCGTCGTGGAGCGATTGCGTTGTGAGAATTCGAAAGGCGTCTTGGGCATGAGCTACTCTATCCTCTGTAAGGCCTCGTCGAATTTTTAAAGCCGTGGTTTCGACATTGACAAGCTCCGTCCAGCGGCAATTGCGGCGAGTTTGGCAAAAGGACGGACTGGGCCAGATGCGGTGGTGGCGGGCTTCCAATTTGCACAGGAAATGCTTCAGAAAGGAAGTTATTTCGATTGATCGACTTCTGTCTAAAAACAGATAGTGTAAAGAGGTAGGGCCGATTGTACAAACTTGATGTGATTTATTATTAGTCGTACCTAAACTTGAGAACCGGGAAGTCACAAAAAGAATATATCAGGCCAGAAAAAACTTGTAAACGAATTCTTAGAATATCTTTGAGCACCTTTCTCTAAGTCTGTAACGTTTTCAGTCAATTTTTACTATCGGTCTAGTCCAGCTTGTTCTAACAGCTAATAGCTACGCAAATATTGGGCCAAGCACCGTCCCTGTCCTTGCAGACGGTTGTCTTAGCGATACCGTTCATTACGACTCGCTTCTAGACATAACTTTAGTAGGTCCTGGCAGTCAAAGCGATTAGCTTAATATCTTAAGTTGGCATTAAGGATATTAGAACTTTTTAAGCATATCTTATTCGGCTTTTGGCAGACAATTATTATCGTTACTATCACCCTTCAAAGAGCATTGAAATCCATCACCGCAGTAGTTATCATTTTCACAATAAGCCCTGATAACTTTCATGCAGTAGAACAATTGATAATGCTCTTTCTTGCCATGGTCCTCGCAAGTCTTTCGGTCAATGTCACAGAAGACCCTATTTGCCGGACCAAATTTCGCGTCGCAAAGGTCCTGAAGGGCTTTTTCAAAGTCGCTTTGTGCACATGTACACTCTTGGGTTGGTATGGCTGGCATGGCTATAACCAGTCCAGCGGAAGCAGTAAAAAGAATGCTTAGATACTTCATCTTAATAAATGCTGTAATAAGTAGCTTGTAGTATATATATATATTGAGTGAATAAATTAAAGAGTAGAGAGTTAAAGAATATAGAGAGTTAGGCAGTTTACTAAATATATATACTTGATTTAGTGCTTACTAAGTATTCCATAAAACTTGCCTAATATTAATATATAAATGCATGTAGAGTGTAATCTCTTGGTAATTAATGCAATTAGTCAAATATCGTATAGCTTTTTAATACAATCAAGGAAAGGTAAAACCTAAACAGTAAGGGTATAGCGTAAGTAACTGACTCGCTGTATCCCACGGCTAGTTTAATCGAGAACATAACTTTATTTCATCCATTTTTCGGCACTTGAAAGGGCGACGCATAAGCGGTAGTAGTTAGGTAGGCCCATGCCAAGTTCTATATCGTCCCATAATCCACATCTCGCGTGACTTGCAACAGGGCATAATAAGATTAAAATTAGGATCTTGGACCTGGACAATTGTTTCAGTGACTGGCCTTTGACACACAGCGGTGGCATGGATACAGGATTCTGTGTTGCTAGCATTGTATAGTTATAGAAGGAACCAATATGCTGCATAGACGACGCATAAAATATGACAAATTGAAGCTTATCCGTCGGAATAACCGAAGGATCTGCTACCATGGATCCGAGGCATAAATTGGGAAGTGTAGATCCCTCAATACCAATGTTTGTAGAGGCCAGCTGCGCCAGCGATTGCCCGCCCCTGTTGTTGACAAGGTTGTGGGAATTAGGAGCTGGTAGTGAAGCTGGCGACCCGCCCCCTCGTTCCGGCGGTTCAGGGTTTGTTGGCCGCGTCTAGGTGCGCGCCAAGCATTACATACCCAGCAACCCGGCAGCCCACGTGCAGGCGCCAGCTTGAGCGGTGGCTCTGGCTTCAACATTCATCGATTGATAGGAAGTACAAGTGGGACGGGAAACATTGGGCGAATCAAAAGTGGTAAAATTCAGGCCCGCGTAAGATTCAGGCCGCCGAATCATGCTACGCCCCATTTATAGTGAAGGGGGTCCAGACTCGGCTGTCCCGCGCTCTTCCGCGACTTACAACTTCGTACGATTAAGACTAAACGCTTCCCCACCGTTCGAAACTTTTCCGCTACTTAAATTATGTACAATATAACCCCTGTTTAATTAACCACCCGTGACCGAACAAGGTTAATAAAAGCTAATAGAGCATAGAGGCCTTATAATATCAGCAATCCAGCTACTAAAAGTTAAGGCTTATTAAGTGATTTAGTAGAGTCCTAGTAAAAGTAATAGTAAGGTATACTACCTAGCTTACTTTTTCTCAAAAAAAGTTAGGTATTTACTCCCCTTATCTTCCTCAATTAACCTTTGCTCTTAATTAGCTGTATATCCCCCTGTGAAGTTACAGGTGGTTAATTATACAGGGGTTATACTGCATTATCATGCAATACTCTGCTCATGGCTTGGCAGCATAAACATGTCGAATGTCTAGCTGTGCTTGCATTGAAAACTGAAATTACTCCTTTATTTATCAATACGTAATGTAAATTTAGGGATTGTCTTAATGCTATCAGAATTTACTATTTATAATGCCCTTTAGAACGCATTTTACCATGTAGCGCTCATCAAACAGTTTTCAAGTATTAAACCTCATCTCAACAGTCCGCCGCGAGTATGCGTTGGACTAACTTTTTTACGTTGGGCGAGGTTTTATGGCTCTCTTGCCTCGGTTCTGGCTATGCCAGGACCCTGTCAAAGGAGAGCATTGTCGGTAGACAAACCCCTCCGCCTCCTGGTGGCTTCGTCTGGCGCGGGGATAGCAGATCCCCGCGAGAGATTCGTGCTGCTGGGGGATTCCGGCCTCAAGGTGACGGCTGGGAAAACTATGACCCATCTTTCGATCTGACCCGGCACTACACCGCTGGTCCAAATGGCTGCGGCCTGGACGAATTTGACGATGCTGGTTTTGTCTTTCGGACCGCGTATGTTTCGGCAGCCCAACGACGGGCTACAGCAGAAAATTATGGCGACTGGCTTTACGAACTTCGTGCAACACCAAACATCCTGGACAATGACGACGCCGAGTCTGAAGTGATGGCTCTGGCAGGTCTCCATTGGAGACAAGTACGAAGATACACACGAATGAGAGCTACCGACAATAATAGAGTTGATGAATCAAGTTGGATTAATAATCCGGAATACGATGCCGAATTATATGAGCGGGGGCAATATGCCCATCTATGTCGCGTTAGTACCGACTTCCCCCGTGTGTTAGCCGGCGAATCGGATTCGGATAGCAGCGGTAGTGAATCGGATTCGGATAGCAGCGGTAGTGAATCGGATTCGGATAGCAGCGGTAGTGAATCGGATTCGGATAGCAGCGGTGAGGCCGGCGCACAACGCCGCCTATATAATGCAGTGGATATATGGATGGACCAAACCGACGGCATATTCGAACTATTTGGCGAATTTCCGCCTACCTGGAGGGAATATGACCCTAATGAGGATATTCCCGGACCGGACCATCCTGCAACCCCGGAAGCTGAAGATGCGCAAAGTAAGAGCCCTTGGAAGACACTTCGGGGCATCGCTCCGCCATGTAGCATTCTTGCTAACAACTATCAATAAAGTCGGTGCACTGATACAGACCTATATCGATATGGGCGCCCAAGAATTGGAAAGGCTGTTTCCCGGCGCTAACCAGGCTGTGCAAGAACTATTCAATATCGAACCAGTTGCTCTTGGATGTCCCTCCCTCTCTGGGTTCGGGTCAAAGGTGCGGAGGCTGGACCAAAGAGGTAGGCAATTTTGTATAACACCAGTGATTAGGGTTTTGAGTTGACAGTTTATAAGCAACGGCGAGCAAACATGGTTGCTGCAAAATACTTTCAAGTTTCAGAAAGAAGGCTAAGGCAAACGGTAAGTGAAACACGGCCGAACAGAAAAGAATTACTTGACACAAGAACATGTTGCCTAACTTCCACAGCCAACCAAGGCGGGGATGGACCGCAGGTCGAGCGTCCCGAGGAGACTCCTGCTGAGCCGTCGGCCTGCAACCTCGAATATATTGATGTCGATTTTCTGTTGGCTGATGAGCGCTGGGCTGGCACCGACCACCAGTTGGATCTTGTTCTTCACGGAAAGTTTGCCAAGTCGGCATCAGAGCCGATCCGCCTCGGGAGCGACGTGGACCGAGGATGGCACCACACCCAGCATATAAATCTCAAGGAGGAATTCAACGCAGAGACCATCTCGTTCAAGAGCATCAAGGGGCTCGAACTGTGGAGTGGAAAGGATGAGTTATGGGTACAAGGTGCGTCACCTCTTTCGAATCTCTAACAATAATTGGCATGCTAACAAGCCGTTTTGCCAGGTTTGCGGCTCCGAGCGAGGTGTGCCCTTTCACAGCACTACATGTCCGTAGACAAATTTGCTGGTTTGAATCAGAAAATGTCGGCAAAAGAATGGAATACTATCTGGTCTGGCGAAATCAAGCCAGAAGACTGGGGCACCACGCGTTGCGAGCAAATTGACCGTCTGGAACTAGAAATTCAGCTGAGAGACAGAGCGTGGGCCGGGACCGACGACGCGCTTGATCTCATTATTCTAGGAGAATTTATCGGCAAAACCTCCCACACGATCCATATGGGTCAAGACATGAACCGCGGATGGCGACACACCGAAAAGATCCCAATGTCCTCGTTGAACGGGCCGTCCACCTTCACAGGCGCCAGCGACATCACAGGACTAGAGCTTCGAAGCGCCGCGGGTGATCAGATCAAACTACAGAGTATGCCTTCCCATTCCGACGCGAGTCATTCTTGACGGTTGTAACGCAAGCCAAGTTCCCAAGCTAACACGGCGCCCCTCGCGACTTTTCTCTAGGCATCAAAGTAACGGCCAAGTGCGCCGGCTCGCCCACCGAGGCCTTGATTGACCATAAATGGGAGTCTATCAATCAGTGGGTCAAGGCGGAAAAGGAAAGCTACGGCACGATCTGGCAGGGCGCCATCGAAGCCCAGGACTGGAGCTGGAGGCCTCCCTGCTACGAGTTTGACGAGTTAAAGGTCGCCTTTCACCTGGTCGACGCCGCATGGGCGGGAACTGACGGCCTTATCCAAGTGAAATTCGACTTTGATGGGCCCAAGACCACGTTGGCAGAGAACCCTAACAGAGATCACCGAGCTACTATTGACATTAACCTTGATACCGTGTTTGGCAAAAAGGTTATTTCCGTTGATCAAGTCAAGCTTATTGACATCTGGACAGGAACCGACCAGATCTATATTGATAGTACGTCTGATATAATCGTATCCTTGACCCTACATAACTAACCTGTTTGTGATTCAGGCATTCAGTTATTGGGGCGATGTGCAAAGTCCGGGAAGCAGGCCGTATTTGACCGATACAAGGATCTAGATACAAAGATGTCGAGCAGCAGCGGCTTTACTTCGGTTTGGGTTGGTGAGGTAGGTTTTACGGGGTGGGAAGCAAAGAAGTAAAGCTTGGCAAAGTGTCGCACTTCTAGGACCGTTCCTCAGCCGTTCCTCATGACAGCTTCTATCAGCACACAGAATTTCCTTTCGTTGCAACATGGTCTCGTGCTTGAGGCTCTTCGTCAACAAAGACTCGGGTGGTAGTGTGCTCGATAGCCATGGCTTAAGCACAACCAGCAATGCAAGTCGACATGTTGGTGAGCGCCGTAACCAGAGATGGATGTTTTTGAAGTTTTTCTGTTGAGACCGAATTGATTTGGAGAGAGTATTATTTTGATCACGCTACTTGTTGTCGGTTCAAGACCGCAGCAAAGAATAGAAAATTTGTGCGAGAGAGTATTTAACTTTAGTGCTGGAAAGATTCGTGAATC